TCAATCAGCCAGCCTGCATTTCGTCCCGAATAGTCCCAGGTGCTCAGCCTTCTAATTCAATACCCTTTGTTCTGCAACGCTCATCACCACGCATGGTCTTCGCTGGGGTATGGCATGTCCATCTGTGTAAGTCTTGCTGGGGATGACCAGAAGGCTGGGCCACTACACAGCAGTGTAGTGAGAGAACGCAGCAGAGGAAGGGGTGAAGGTAGAGGTAGAAGGGGAGTGACCAGGAGAGAGGGTCAGCATGCCGGAGAACAGGAAGGGGTCCCAGGGAAGAAGAGAAATTCGACTACTGCAATGGTGGGTGACCCAGGCCCGACAGCCTCTGTGTCTCCCGAGGGCACACTGGAGGTGAGGCTGTCCCTAAAAGTGGACGTAGGATGATGGAATGAGGGTCTGCAGTGGGTGCTGGGGGCTCAGAGAAGCTACTCAGGAGTCCAGGAGTGGAAATGAGCAAGTCCGCTCTAGGAGACTGACTCTGATTGTGCACGTGTGACAGAGCAGGAGAAAAGAAAGGTTACTGAACGGACACTCACCAAAATGAAGCTCACTGCCATCGAGCCAACCCTGACTTCTGGTCACCCTGCAAGGCAGCACAGGGCTGCGCCTGCAGGTTTCCGAGGGTTAAATCTTTCAGGAACAGAAAGTCACGGGAACGCAAGGTCCCACACACAGACCGCCATAACACTGGTCGGCTGCTTCTTAAGTTGACAAGCTCAGTGTCGCAGCCCCTGCCGGACAGGGCCACCTTCACTGCTGCCAGACACTGGCCCCTGAGAACGTGGCCCACTACTGCACACACCCACCACATGCCAGGAACATGCTGGGGACACAGTCCACCAGGCACCTGTAAGGGATGTCTCGTGCTGTGGAGAAGCCAGATCTGGAAACAGCACCTGTTCATACCAAAGGAGTTGGTCTCGAGTGCCCCCCTAAACATGGGGCTACAGACATCAGTCCCTGAACTACAACTGGCTCCCCAGACCCTGCACCAACTCCCCCTCTGAAAAACGCCCCACCCTTGTGGCCAGGGACACCCTCTCACAGGCCTGGCCACCCAGCAGAGTGGGGACTGTGTCGAGGGATGGGCCCTTCCCAGCTCCCAGAGCTGCCTGGCCCCTGCTGACCCTACTCCTGCTCCTGCTCTGGGCTTCCCTGCAGCCTCCCGCCCACCTGTCCCACACCAAGGCTGTGGCGCCCCCTTACCCGGAATTCCACCTGCCCAGGCGCCCACTACCCCAGGGCCATTCATTCCACAGGGCAGTGGGGTGTCCCAGCGCGGGCTCTGCAGGCGCGCGCACGCGGGGG